GGCTCAGGTCATGGTCCCAGGGTCCTGGGATCGAGCCCCGCATCGGGCTCCCTGCTCGGCGGGAAGCCTGCTTCTCCCTCTCCCACTCCCCCTGCTTGTGCTCTCTCTCTCGCTGTGTCTCTCTCTATCAAATAAATAAATAAAATCTTAAAAAAAAAAAAAAGTAAAGATGAACAGGATTTTGAACACTAGAGATTGCTGCCCAAAACTTCCCCAACATAAAACTCTACATTCACTCTTCCTTCTGGGCTGACCTAACTTTGTTAGAAGTGTACTTGTAATTATACACCTGGTTCCTGTGACCATTAAATACATGTTCAGCAACAAACTCAAACCTTCAGAAGGATCCTGTGCTCTTAGGCTTTCCACAACTTTGTTCCCTAGGGCAGCAACAGCTTCCACTAGATTGAGAGAAAAAGAGACCATGAACATTATATAACTATTTAAAGACTTTCTATACATCTCTACACTACTCCACCCTCTGATTTCTGCCCCACATGCAAGGTTGGAGCAACGGCAAGCAAGAATAAACACTTTTACAAGGGGAAACTAACACTTGAACTAGAAACTGGAAGGCTCAGGGAACAGGATACCTCCTATACCCACACCATTTTTTTTTTTTTTTTAAATAGTAGGGTTTCTCATCAGTGGCACTAATCCCATTTTGGGCTGGACAATTGTGTTTGAGGGTCAGAGAGTAGAATATGTCCTGTGCACTGATCTCTACTCCTTTGATGCCAGTAGCCCAAACTATCTCCAGACACTGCCAAATATCCCATGGGAGACAAAAATCACCAAATGAGAAACACTGCCCTTTAGTAACTGGCCATACATTCTTTCGGACACGTGGTCCAGACTTTGTCCCTTATTACCTCAACACACGTTAAAAAAATAAATGTCCCATTTGTCTTCCAAACAAATCTTTCTCACAAGAAATTTGGGCTTTAGGGGCACCTGGGTGGCTCAGTTGGTTAATTGCCTTTGGCTCAGGTCATGATCTCATGGGTCCTGGGATGGAGCCCTGTGTCGGACTCCCTGCTCAGTGGGGAGTCTGCTTCTCTCTCTACTTCTCCCCGCCAAACCCCTCCCCCCCACCACCACTCATGGCTCATGCTCTTTCTCTCTCACTCTCTCAAATAATCAAATAAAATATTAAAAAAAAAAGAAAAGAAATTTGGGCTTTAAAGATCCCTATGCCTCAAACTCAACACTCTGCTCCTGTGGCCAGAAAAAGGTACACTCACATGTTGGCAGAATCTTTAGGATTACCACCAGGTCAGCCACATTGTGTCCTGTAGTCATTGTTCCCTTTTTATATGATCCCACCTGTCGGACTTCTTCAATTTGCTGTTGGAAAAGGGATTTCGGGCGGGGGGGAAATGTAGAAGTGAAAAAGACTGTCTAGGGGCGCCTGGGTGGCCGTTGGTTAAGCATCTGAGTCTGACTTCATCTGGGGTGGTGGTCTCAGGGTCCTGGGATCTGTCTGCATCGGGCTCCCCACTCAGCAGGGATTCTGCTTGTCCCTCTGCCCCGTCCCCCCTCGTGCTCATGCTCTCTCAAATAAATAAATAAAATCTTTAAAAAAAAAAAAAGACTGTCTAGTTCCTCTCAGAAGTCAATTACAACACAATTATTACTCAGATTTAGAAGTAGCAGAAGTCAAATCATATCCCAAAACCACCACATGAAAAGCCTAATACGTTATGGCTAAGTGGTAACACGGATACAAGTCTTGTCCCCAAGATCACCACTACAAAGGAATTCACTGTACTTTCCTTCCTATTTTAGGCTTGGCTTTGGAAAATAAGTAACTGACGAATTAAGATATGGGCACCTAGGAAATACTACCCACACTACCAAGGCTGCCCTTTCCCATGACTAAATCATTAAAAACTCACCACTTCAAATGTCCCTGGAGCCACAATCAAATTATCAATCACATTGTTTATTTTTGTCACCAGAGAAAGGATAGAGGCCTGAAAAACAGCAGGAAACAAAAATACCCTAAAGTGAAAAATTATAAGCAACTTCTCCGAGTTTGAGTATTTTCCCCTAATCTCTTCTACACAAGCTGAATCAATATCTACATAGGGCTTTGAAAACACTCTGACCTTCTGGCCTTGAATATGCCAGAAGACAGTAACTTTCTGACCCAAAGATAGGTCTCCCCAATAAAGATATAAATGCAGGGGCGCCTGGGTGGCTCAGATGGTTAAGCGTCTGCCTTCCGCTCAGGTCATGATCCCAGGGTCCTGGGATCGAGTCCCGCATCGGGCTCCCTGCTCCGCGGGAGCCTGCTTCTCCCTCTCCCTCTACTTTCCCCCCGCTTGTGCTCTCTTGCTGTCAAATAAATAAGTAAAAAATCTTAAAAAAAAAAAAAAAAGCTATAAATACACATGTAATCTGTTTACCTAATCCACGCGGCACTTTCCCTCTACCCACAGTGAGAAATGAGGAGAATTAAAGCCTTCTGTGGAGTTTAGACTCTGGTAACAGTAACCTCACCAGGAGTTAGTCACTTCTCTAGCTTTCTTAGACAAATCTCAGGAAGAAAGCCAAAAGAATATACCTGTTCAGCAGAATTAGGAGCAAGGTCCTGATTCCTCTTCAGCAAAGCCTCACTGAAGGAAGTTTCATCAGGCGCTGGCTTGACCCGGGGGAAGGCCATTTCACACTAAACCGGAAAGAAACAATGATACAGTATTTACCAAAAGCACTATACAAGAGAGATCATTTTCTCCATTGCCACGACAGAAACAACTGAAAACAGAAAATTCTACGCTTGTTTTTACTCCTTAAGATATTCAAACCAGGATACCTGTGGGAAGGACTGGCCACAATTTAAGCTCTCACTGCTTTTACGTTAACAGATAAAGCAGAGACACACGTAATTATTCAGAACAAAGATTACAATCCTGCTACTGTCAACAGTAGCCAAAGAATTATCTTCCCCACCGCGCTCCCGCGCAGCTGACTCAAAACCCCAACTCCGTTCCTGATCCCTTTTTGGACTCGCAGCACTGTTGACTTCACCGACAGAGAGATGCTGGGTTCCAGGAAACTGCAAGTCAACAGTGGTGAACAGCAGCCAAGGTACTCACCAGATAGAAATCAAATGGAATATGTGGCACAAAGGGCCTGAACCTAAAACAAGAAAAACAGTCCAAATTACTCATCAAAAAAATCAAAGGGCTTAGCATCGCGAGGCCAAAGTCGTTCAGCTGGAGCGCACGGAGAGAGAGGCTGCCAAACCACGGCTGGATCTCGCAAGAGCGGGAAGCCTGCGTCCTCCACAACGGCGTAGTCGGCTGACGGAAGCTAACCGGCGCAGGGACGCCGAGCACGGGCACTCACCCTCCTCCTGGGCCTCCTCGGGACCCAAAGCGCCCGCCGCGACCACGGCCTCGGTCACCCCTAGAAAGGCAGAGATTTCCACTTGTTCTGACTCCGCGGCTCTGCACTCCGCTCGCAAGGGGCCCCGCTCCCACTTCCACCTCCGCACTCCCAGTGCCCGCCTCAAACACCGCGTGCCTTGCTGAGCACCCCCGGGGCCCCGGGACGCGGCAGCCCACACGCCTCAGAGACCAGAGCGGCCGCTCCCGGATCCGCCGGAGGGGTGAACCCTGCGTCCCCCGGAGCCGCCATCCCCCGTCGGGACGCGGCCCCGGCGCCCGTCTGCCCGGCCCGCCGCCCTCCGGCCTCAGGCAGCCCCCGGACACGCGGCCCCTTCGGGGATTCCGCCTCCCGTCGGCCCGCCTCCCCAAAGTTTTCGGGCAAATACGCTAGCCCGGCTCCGAACACCCCAGTGCCCTTACCTCATGGCGTCCTAAAACCCGAACAATGGAGGCCACACCAACCGCCCCTCTCCTCAGAGGAGCAGACACTGGAGACACGGCTTGTCGGCGCGTCCCAACAAACTCTGGCGCGATTGGCTCCCGCCCTACCCCGCCGCTAATGCCCATTGGTTTACTTTGGCAGACCAGTCTGCGAGCCAATAAGAAACACCTGCTGTGTCAGAAATTAGCCAATAAGAACAGATTTAACAGTAGCGACAATTTTTTTTTAAGTGGACACTAGATGGCGCGATATGGAGAAGGCACGGTACAGCTTTCTTTAGGAATCCAGAAAACGCACTCTTCCAGGCAGCAGAGTGGCGCAGCGGAAGCGTGCTGGGCCCATAACCCAGAGGTCGATGGATCGAAACCATCCTCTGCTACGAAGTGCTCCTTTTCCTGTTTACTTTTCTTAAGTGATTAGAACCACTCTCTTACTTTTCCCTCCTTCAAAAATGCAGGCTTTAGAACCGTTTTTGCCATCAGCAAGTGAAGGGAATAGGAAGGGACTTTAGGCAAAACTACATGCCTGGGGGTTCACCGAAGGCCAGAAACCTGAGGCAGGAGAAGCGTATTATACAGATTGAACCAGAGGGAAAAGCACTGATGATGACCGGCTAGAAGTGAAACAGGCAGCCTTTAGAAAGAGAGTTCAGAAAGAGCGAGCAGGGGAGGGGACAAGGACCCGCCAGCGCCCGCGCAAGGTCGCCGCTCCCCCTGCAGGCCCGCCCCCGAGGGGCAGGCGGCTCCCGGCCTGAGTGCGCAGGCGCTGTCCCCGACGTTCTAATGGCGCCACCCGGGTTGCTGCTTCTGTCCCCCCGAGTCATTTTTTCTCGGGCTTCTCGCCTACTTTTGCGCTGATTATGTTTATTTCCTTCCCCGCCTTTGTTAATTGGAGGGTAGGCACTTTTTCTACTCTTTTAGTGTACTCTAAAAATGACAACATGCGGCAGCAGCTCTTTTTGCCCACGGGTCCTGTCCCCATGCTTTAATAAAATCACCTTTTTGCATCAATCAGTCAATCAGTTGATTCAAATAAAAATTACAACATGCATCCTTGACTTAGCAAGGTCTAATTGTGTGCAATACTTTTGCCCTCCTGGTGAAAAAATGCAGGGATAATTTAATTGTTTACCACTATCACCCCCCCCATTATATGCTATTGCTGTTGTGTAATTCTTTTAAGGACTTTAGTATAATTTATTACAGCAAAATGCACAGATCTTAAGCTTTCATCTCGATTAATTTTGAGTAATGTATTCCGTCCATGTAACCATCACCCAAGACGAAGAACATTTTTATCACCTCAGAAAGTTTGCTCTTGACCCTTTACCCGGCGGCCCCTAGAGGCAATCATGATTGTGATTTCTATGAGCATAGATTAGGTTTGTCTGTTCTTGAACTTCACATAAATGGACTCACACTGTATGTACTCTCTCTCTCTCTTTTTTTTTTTTTTTTAAAATTTATCTATTTAACAGAGAGATAGCCAGAGCAGGAACACAAGCAGGGGGAGTGGGAGAGGGAGAAGCAGGTGTCCCACCGAGCAGGGAGCCCGATGCGGGACTCGATGCCGGGACCCTGGGACCATGACCAGAGCCGCCGAAGGCAGACACTTAACGACTGAGCCACCCAGGTTATGTGCTCTTTATTTGTCTAGTTTCTCTCGCTTGATACGTTTCAAGATTCTTCCACGTTTTTGCATTTATCAGCAATTTGTTGATTTTTATTTATGAGCAGCATTCCCTTACATAAATATATCGACTTTCCTGTTCAGCCATTCTCCAACTGGCTGGGACACACAGGTACACATTTGGGTTGTTAACACTTTGGAGCCATTATGAATAAAGCTGCTTTATTCAGCTGCTTTATTTTTGTACAAGATTTGTGTGGCCAGATGCATCTGTTTCTCTTGGTAGATGTAGATGTGTACATTATTTAAATTCTGTATATATTTTCTTTCTTTCTTCCTTTTTGAAAGTAAGCTCTATGCCCAAAGTGGGGCTCAAACTCACGAGCCTGAGATCAAGAATCAGGGCTCCACCGACTGAGCCAGCCAGGTGCCCCTTTCACCTTTGTTTTTGAAGGACATTTTCTCTGGATAAGGAACTCTAGCTTGGAAGTTATTTTCCTTCAGTGCATTTACTATATTATTTTACTATCTTTGGCTTCCATTTTTGCTGTGAAAAAAAAAATTTTTTGCCAACCTAATGGTTGCTCTTTTGAAGGTAATCAATCCTCTTTTTTTTCTATTTTAAAGATTTTGCCTTTGATTTAATTTCCTGCTATTTCATCTTGATGGGTCAAAATATGGACTTTTTAAATCTTACTTGAGGTTTGTTGAACTTCTTGAATCTGTGGGGCTTTTTTATTCCCCTACTTCCTGGGCTCTGAATAAAGGTATGTCAGATTTTTTCACAGTATCCCTCTTGTCTCGTTTAATCCGTGCTTCATTCTGGGTAGTTTCTTCATTCTTTCTTCCATTGCATTACTTGCTCTTGAGTCTGACTTACTCTTAAACCTATTAATTCTTAATTTTGGTTTTTTAATATTTTGGGGTGTGAATTTTCTATTTATTTCTGATTTACTGGACTCCAAGGTTTCCCCCAGGAGTACAGCTTTCAGGATCCTAACCCCAAAGCAGAAGATGGGTTTGCCAGGTTTCTCACCTTTGGGGACATTTGGACTATAATTTTTGTCTCATTTGCCCCACACAGCCCATTTTCTGCCTCCAGTTCTCATCTGCAAAAGACCCCAGGGTAAAAGCAGTCCTACTGCTGGTCTCAACTCTATGCTTTCCTGTCTTTCATGTTCTCAACACCAATAATTCCTCAGTGTCTTATTAGTGCTTTGAGTTTTTAAAGTATTTCATCCAACATTTTTAGTCATCTTCAGCTCAGGCAAATTGTTCAGTCCACCATTGTTGAAAGAGGGGCTCAATTACTAAATTAGGTTTTAGGTGTAGTCATTTCTCCTGAGCTCCACTCCACTAATCCAATGGCACACTGAACACCTCCACTTGGGGCTCTACAGGCACCTCACACCCAACAAACTAAAATTGTTATCACCCCCCCACACACTCAAAACCTGTTTCTTTAGCTCTTCAGCAAATGGGTCAATGTCACCTAAACTTCAGTCATTTGTATATTGTCTTCTCTTCTTGAAGTCCAATTGATTCTACTTATAAAACATCTCTCTGTAGTCAACAATGTTATGCACTTAAAAAGTTGTTAAGAGCGGGGTGCGCCTGGGTGGCTCAGTCGGTTTCTTCAGCTCAGGTCATGATCCTGGGGTCCTGGGATCTAGGCGGCATTGGGCTCCTGCTCAGCGGGGAGCCTGCTTCTCCCTCTGCCCTTCCCCTTGTTCATTCTCTTTCTCTCTCTCTCTCTCGCTTACTCACTCTCTCAAATAAATAAGTAAAATCTTAAAAAAAAAAAAAAAAAAAGAGGGGCACCTGGCTGGCTCAGTTGGTAGCACATGAGACTCTTGGTCTTGGGGACGTGAGTTTCAGCTCCAAGTTGGGGATAGCTTACTTAAAAAAATAAAGGGGACACTAAAAAAAATTTTAAGAGGGTAGATCTCATGTTAACTGTTCTTTTTTTTTTTTTTAAGATTTTATTTATTTATTTGAGACAGAGAGTATGAGAGGGAGGAGGGTCAGAGGGAGAAGCAGACTCCCTGCCGAGCAGGGAGCCCGATGCGGGACTCGATCCCGGGACTCCAGGATCATGACCTGAGCCGAAGGCAGTTGCTTAACCAACTGAGCCACCCAGGCGCCCCTCAACACACACAAGAAAGGACAGAAGGCTGTCTAAACTCATCAGTTGTATACATTAAATATGTACAGTTTATGCCGTATCATCTTTTTGGCCTCCAAAATGCCGTATCAATTATATCTCAATAAAACTAGTTTTTTTTAAGTCCCTTCCCTCAAAAAAGTTTCCCAATTTCCTATCTATCTGTATTAGCCTCTGGACCACCCCATACAGGACGAACATTATGCCTATCACACAAAAGCTTGCATGACCTGCCCTCTGCTGCCCTCTCTTGCCTCTCCTCAGTCATTCCTTTTTTTTTAATGATTTTTGTTTATTTGTCAGAGAGAGAGAGAGCACAAGCAGGGGGAACCACAGGCAGAGGGAGAGGGAGAAGCAGGCGACAGGGAGCTTGATCCCAGGACCTTGGGGTCATGACCTGAGCTGAAGGCACCCAGGCGCCCCTCTCCTCAGTCATTCCTACAAGCACACACCTTACATCATGGATCAGGATTCAAAATATAAACTCCTACAGCAGCCAGGCAGGTAAAGCAGATGAGTGAACAGGATGGATAGGAACTGTGATGAACTAGACTCAGCTCAAGGAAGGGATGCAGGACTTAGCTATTGCCAGCTTTCTAATATTTCAAGACAAGTCAGAAATTCAAATATTTATGTGTCATCTACTAATTTTTTTTTTTTACTTTTTTTTTTAAAGTGAGCTCTATGCCCAATTTGGGGCTTGAACTCAGGACACAGAGATCAAGAATCCCACCCGGGGTGGCTGGGTGGCTCAGTTGGTTGAGCATGGACTCTTGATTTCAGCTCAGGTCATGATCTGGGAGTCCTGGGGTTGAGCCTTGTGAGGGACTCTGTGCTCAGTGGGGAATCTACTTGAGGTTCTCTCTCTCCCTCTGCCCCTCCCTGCCCCGTTTTCTTTCTCGGTCTCTCTCTCTATTAAATAAATAAATCTTTAAAAATTAAAGAAAGAAAGAAAGAAAGAGTCCCACCCTCCGCTGACTGAGCCAGCCTGGTGCCCCTCATCTGCTGATTTTTAAGTGTAGGCAATTAAGTCAAACATAGAGAAAGAGAATGCAGGCCAAACAAAACATTCCGGCCATCTGTAGTTGGTCCAACGGCTACTATTTGTTCTAGACCATAAGAAAAAATGGTCCTAAAATCCCCCCAAAATTCCTGATACAGGAAATATACTTCAGTATTCTGCTCTTTCTGCACAGAATACCTTGCTCATCATTCTACTCTTGCTGAATTATTTCTCTTTGGAGATTTTCCTGGCCCCCAAAGCAAGCAGAAGTCCTATCTGGGCCTCTTAGCAATTTATCCATCTCTCTGTTGTGGTCCTCAATCAGATTACATTATGGCTATTTGTCCCAAGCAGAGCTCCTCCAAGGCACGACTATACATATATTTACCTTCATACCCTCAGCATTTAGCCGGCGCTTCAAGTCGCTTTGTTTGCTGAGGGAAAGTTTGCAGGTGTTGGGCTCAGTCCAGGCACAGGATCGGAGAGGGTCTGCCATTGCAGCTGCGTCAGTGACCCCTGCTGGCCGCGAGAGGGCAGACTGATGCCACAGCGGGGGGACCCCCAACCCTCTCCCCAGGGGACGCCTCCACCGGTCATTTCCAACACCGCCTCCCACCGTCACCGCAAATCCCATTTTAACAATCTCCCTCAAACAAACTCACACTCACCTTCCGGGAGCGGCCCCGAGGTCACCACTCTGCTCCTCCCCACTCCAGCCACCGCACGTTCTTCTCCCCCTTCCTATAACCATTTGGGAACTAAAGGGTTAACTCCGCCCTTCCACTGGGTCCGTTCTCTCCGTCAATCTGCTCTATCTGGAAGCTGGGGGGGCGGGGGCGGTCCTGGATGTACTGAGTCACGGGCACCCTGGGCTCACCTACTTTAACGCCCTTCCAGAAACCCGCCACCCTCCCGTCCACCCCAGACACACACACTTCCGTACACTCACACCTTTTCTTGCCAAGATCCCAAACCAGCACAGCCCTCTTCCCCAAACGGAACCAGGTAGGGGGAGGGACGAGGTGGGGCGCAAATGGGCCCCCGCGGCCCCCACACGAGTCTCCCCTTGGTCCTGCTTCCGATCCCAGCGAGGAAGCCCCTTCTGAGGGCGCCGCTCTCGGAGGAGGACGGCGTGGAGGGTCTCAGGGGAAAGCGCGCGGGCTCGGGGCGCGGGCATGTCCGCAACTTCGGGGCGGGGACGAAGGAGTTAAAGATCCCGGGTTGGCTCTCCAGTCGCCGAGTCTGGGAGGGGAAGCGGCGGGAGGAAGGACTCGGAGCTTGGCTCAGGACCTCCCCTGTCCCCCCCGGACGGCCGGGGACTTGGGCCGGCCGGACGCCCCCGCTGACACCCTCCCGGGGCAGCCGCTCACGCGCGCACACAAACGCTCCACTCCCCTTCCCTCCCTCGCGCCCTCTCCCATCCTTCTCCCCCGAATGCTTGCTCCTAACACACGCACCCTCGCGCTGTCGCCCACGCTCGTTCCCCGAGCCCCCGCGCTCCGCCGCCAGCGCCCACCTGCCCCGCGGCGCC